CATAAAAATAAATGAAAAATAGTAAACAAATATAATATAAATCAATGCTTAAATTCAAAAACTAAGTAAATTTTATATTTATCATTATTCAGATCATAATTATTATTTTTGGTTATCTGTACTAAGTTTTTGCAAAATAATGATAACATTATATTTTCATATGTAGCATAAAAAATAACGATGATTTACAATAAAAAAAAAATGTATAATAATATTTTTATGATAAAAGTTTTAAAAAGAAAAAACGAACATTAAAAACATTTTGATACAAACAAAATAATTTAATATTAAATCTATATAAAAAAGCTGAAACTTAACTTTAATTAATTATATAGAAATTGAGAGGTAAGAAGATTGATTATATGTAATTATATATAAGAAAACTAACGAACCATTTGGTTTGGATACTAAATGTAGCAGTAGACAAAGATAAATAGCATTGAGAACACTTTACTATTAGTTTTATATATTTTTTAATATATATATAAATATATAGTTTAGTAATATTGATTATTGAAGGTCAGCAATGCACCTATGCATATTTTATTTAATAACAAATCAATAGTGAATTTTATTTTATAAATAAATTTATTTTTATCTATAATTTAAACTTTAATTTCTTCTGTGAATTAAAATATTAAATTATTTCTATCTGTAATAATCATATGTGTATACATTTTTTATACTCATAATTAATATTTTATGTTATTATAAAATGTATGGAGGTAGTTTTTTTAAATACTTTTATACTTTTATAATTGACGTAAATCGATTGATTAAACTTGATTAAATATTATGTTTTAAATGGTTTTCATTATTTTACTTCATATTATTTTAATTCAAAAAACACTATTTAAACATGTTATAATGGTATTCAATTAAGATGTCTCTATATAGTACATACACAAAAAGTATGTTTGGTTGCACTTCATATATTCTATAGAACTGAACCATTATACATTTTCAAATTTACAATAGGCTTCAGCTTTTTCAAACTTAGATATCATAATAATATAATCGTTAATTATTATATTTTATTAAAAATTTAAACTTGATCAAATTAAATACTTAAAAGTATATCTTAAAAAAAATAATTTAATCTTATTCAAACTACATTTTTAAAATAATTTTTGTTAAATTTAACTAATATCTAATTATGTCAAACATTTCAAATAATATTATTATTTATCCGTTAATTATTCATTATATATATATATATATATATATAAGCTGTGTATTTAGATTTTTTCGAGTTTTTTGTCTCATAAAATTGGGTAATATTTTCTTTCTATTTTTTTTTTACGGGTTATAGATTAACGATACTTAATAATATAACAAATTAATTTGTTGATTTCAGTAAGACCTGACAGAAAACAAAAAAAAAAAAAATAGTAATAAATTCAAACAATATATTAAATATTTTAATTATAATAATTGTACAGATGTACAGTATAATGCCTAAATCTAAACATAACATATTGGTTATGCAATTACATTACATGGTACGTAAATGTATTTGTAAAAAAATTTTCTTAAAAATAAAAATGATAAAATATTATATATTATACTTAATAGTATATAGTATATAATATATAGGTAACTATTCTTATTTTATTGCAATTCATGATTTTAGATAGGTATAATATAGGGTTTTGCATTATTGTGGTCAGCATAAAGTATAGTTGTCATTCATAATATCATCATAATAACGCACAACTTAAAGAATCGGTAAAAGATTCCACCGAACTGCAGTGCAAAATTTAATATCGTAAAGGTGTCATCATTCCTATTTCATAGATTTCCTATAAAATTCTTATTACAATTTAAAAAGAAAACTTGATTATTTTATAGAATATTAATTTTGTATTAAAATATCAATAAATTGTAAAATCCATAACTATACGTTTTATTAAAATAAATATAAATAATAACAATGTTTAAACATTATCAAGGTCATATTTTATGAAATTACAATTAAATTAAATTTCCCAGTAATTTTGTCTTAACATTTTTATTAAAATAATACAATATATGATTTAATTTATTTTATATTAAAGTATATTTTAAATTAAAATAATGCTAAGAGTTTTGATCAATCCTAAAAATAGAATCACCGCATACCACTAACAAAGCGACTAGCAGTTATTTACGATTTTATAATTCATTTGATATGGACGAACAAAATAGCCTGCAAGTCTTATTGCAGTGGCAATATTTTCATGGTTCAGCGTTATTGACGATGTATATAATAATATAATTCGTATACGATATGTCGATATTGGTTTTGGATAAAAAGTCGTTAAAACAATACTATTTACATAAGAGTCACTAAAAAATAAGTAAAATATTAATAATATTTTAAAAAATAGTTATATCCATTTATATGGTGGAAAGATTTTCACAATGTTAAAAATGAGTTAGAAATAAAGTTTTATTCACATTTTATAAGTAAAGTAAACTGGATAAATGAATGAAATACTCAAATATTATTTTTTGTGTGGTTAACTATATTTTATTGTTTGCTAAGCATTTTGTAAATGGTAATTCAAAATTTTAATTTAATATTTAAACATAAAATTATCATACCAACATGATATTTTTAATTTCAAAATTTCCATAGAATAATATGATAGTTGTTCTTGAAAGTTTTGAAAGTGCAAATGGATTTTGATATAATGTGTCATCGAACGTATCAAAAATTATTTATTTTTTTTGGTCATATCTTCTAATGATTTTAAGTTCTCATGAAATTTCATAATTTCTATTCGTATTTTGTGCTCTCTTCATTATTATACAGCCATCATATTCATTTTATTTCTGCCTTGTCATATATCAATATTGACGAAAAGTTTTGAGTTCTATACTTTGTCAATTAATTGGAATAATAGAAGAAAATATTAATGAACATTTTCAAGGTAAAATTTTACGTGTTATTCGCGCAGATATTTTCAATTTTATTATATATAAAGGACAAAATGTAAAAAGTTTCAGTGACATAATATTCTATAGAAAAATACAGAAAATTATATAAGGAAAATAAAAAATGCATATTCTAACTCCTTTTTTCCATGAACTTACTTTGGATATTTATTTTTAAACAAAAAAAAGTCTGTTCGAGTATTGTAAATAAAGAAATGCAAAAATTAGCTTAGGAATATAATAAGGTAACATTTTATTGAATATTTGTGGTGCGAGTAATTTAGTTATTGGCATTATTATTCTTTTACTAAGAAAAATCACTTATTTAACACAAAGAATGTGAACAACAATTTTTAAATGATTTAATGATATAATTGTTTGATAAGTATTCAACAAATATGTTAACAAAAAAAATATAGTAATATGAACAATATTTCTATCGTAATTGTAAAGTATAATATCATATGCTTTAATAAATAAATATAAGTAAACAAATTGAATTAAGTCAAAATGTAATAGTTTTATAAGAGTAATATTATTTTCAAATATATTTTGTTAACATTTGATGTTTTTGGTTTAAAAAGTATAGTTTAAATTTAAAAAAGAAAGTTAAACGTCTGAAAAAATTTATATTTTTTTAATGAAATATTACATCATATGTTATGTTTATGTATGTTTCCATAACAACAATGTTTTTAAATTCTATAAAATATAATGATTAATGAATAATTATTCTTGTATATTAATCGTAATGGATCTAGGACAACTTTAGGTTCTCAGTTTTTGGAGTCCTTATGATACATTATTTTTATACAGATATTAAATACAATTTTTAATGGAATAAAAGAATGTTTCAAAAAATTATATTATTCCCAAGAGAATATGAAAGTTTTAATGGGTTTTTATTCGTGACATTTTTTTTACGCCAAGTAGCTGTGCATTGGGTTTTATGGAAAATTACCACGTTGCCCTTAAACGAAATATATAGTGACCGCGTACACAAACACACGTCTATGTGCCAACTAACCGACAACTCCATGTTATTAAGAATGTATACGTGCCAAGTTTAATAAAATTCTGAAGTCTGATTTACCAGACTTTTTCACGTACGTTACCTCATATTATAGTTCACACAGAATAATAAAGGGTTTTATGCTTTATATTGTGTACCCTATAACAATCAAAAGACTAGATTCATTGAATAATAATAACAAAAAAATAATATATATATATATATATACATAAATATTACCATGTATAATTCTCACTATATTTTAAAGTACAGACTAGAATAAAATAAATTGATATCTTTTGTTTGAGGTTTTATAAAGTTAAATCACGAAGCTGTACGATAAAAGCAACGCGTATCTGGCAAATTTAGTTAGCTATGGATCAGTAATGATGACAAAAATAAAGTAAATTACTGAAAACAATGTTGACTTACTTAAAAACTTTATGCTATCATTTTAGACCGGTTAGTCGTAATTAAATTAATTGTTATTGCATATTTAATAACGATTGCGTGTGAATAATACAATATAAAGTGTTTACAGTAAACACTAAACATGTGCGTTGTTTGTGTAGCTTAATAAGGTATACAGAAATTCTACAATCTCTCTCATTATCTTAATACATTTGAAGAAAATTTGCATAATTTTATTTGCCACGGGCATGAATCGTCTACCCACACATGATTACTTACCTTGTTCGAAATTCGGGCCAAGGATCGTTGTTTGTTATAAGTTATAACTACCAAATATTGAATGAATATTCAATGCCTATATAATATATATTACATTTTTTATTGTTACTGAATATTATTAACTAACCCTTAAAATATGAATTAAAGAACTATGCATGTAGGATTAAAAAATGTTCAATAGGCACTTGTTTTTAGTATGCCTACTTATCCATTTTAACAAACTAACTTCCGTAAAACTTGTGTAAATTATTATATTTAATAGTATAATGTTAACTTAATTAGTGTAGTATCATATAGAAATTAAAGATTGGTTAACATTATACATCATTAGATATTCCCTAGTGTGGCAGTTTTATAAATAATGAGCAAATAATCTTACCTTAGAAATACAGCAATTTCCCGTGTTGCTAGAAATGTTGTTTGATTTTACTTTTCTCCTCCCTGTACAATTTACTATTACGAATTCTACGAAACTAGCAAACACAAAGCACATGCATACTCCGTCCCAAACATTCATAGCAGTCAAATTAGCTACGTCGGGCAGGGTTCGACGGAAACTGTTGGAGGTCGTAAAGTAATTCAACATTGTTGTAACGCCTTAAAATTTGTAAAATAAAATTTAATTTAGTATTTTAATTTTTTATTACTATTATTATTATTATTATTATTATTATACAAAACTAGTATTTAAAATCTGTACATAACCAAATATAAAATAAACAAATAGGTTAATAAAATACATATAACTTAAAGAAAGTTATCAGGGAAGCTATCCAGTGATAGGAACCACACAGTATGATTCGGCTTAAATTTTAGTAGTGGAATCTTTTCAATTTAAAAGATCTTAACACTAATGTATCTTAAAACAGCAAGGAGAGTTGTCAGGAATATTGTCTATGTGTTGGTTTGCTATTACTGGATTTGGATAGTGAAGCAATTTGAATAGAACTCTTTATATTGAGTTTTGACTAAATATGCTCTATATGATCAAATCAGTCTTAACATTGACGCTTAAATAAACATTTTGTTGTGAAGTGGAAGTTTGGATTTTAGAACTGGACATAATAAGTGCGATATAGTGTTTAGTAACTTTTAAATTTTAAATTTGGATCTTAGGTTACTTTTTAATTAAGTATAATACCTAGATATTTGACCTGAATCAAGGGAGGGATTACTCCTTGAAGGGTAAGAATAGATGTATTTTTTAATTATTTTTATTTTAGGGTAAAAAGAACGAGAACTTATTTATCTGCATTGATTTTGGTTTTCCAGTTTGAACATCACTTTTCGATGTAGTTTAAGTGGTGTTTTATAGCAACGAATGCTTTAGCCAAGTCGATATTGGAAGAAAAAATAGATTTGTTCTCGGCGTAGGAAGCTAAAATAGTGTTTTGGGTTTACAAGACATTAGAAATAAAAATATTGTAGTGATCGATATACAGAAATAATTTCCTTAAGGAACTTTTTCTAAAATAGAAAAAAGGGAGTATAAGGAATTACTTGACAAACTTAAATATTTTAATTAAAAATAAAATATAGTTAAAGTTATATTAAATATTTTTACCAATAATTGTTCTTGCTGGTACTGCATCCCATTCCAGGAAAAATGTAATAAACGACGAAGTAACTAAAATTAAACCAGGTATGAAAATAGTAGCGAAGTAAAACGTTCTATCTCTACTAAATATCATTTCCACTTGTAGACAACTGTAATTACCTGAAAAATATGTAAATAAAAAATAAATTTAATTAAAATATTGAATACAGTTCTAAGGTACAAAAATAGTGAAACATGAAAGCATAAACGAATAATAAAAACAACATGCAATATAATAGGAAATAAATAAAAATTATTGAAAAAAATAGAGATAATAAGTAAAATAAAACATTTTGTATATTATCATATATGTCTAATATATTGTATATAAAAAAAAAATTATTACCTCTCCAACTTCCAGTAGAAGCACATTCATAAGTTCGATTTCGCTCTAAATAAGCATTTAAAGTTTTCAAATTAGGTGACTTTACCAAAACAGAATTATCGTTTTTCCAGACATACTTTAAATCAGATTTCTCATATGATACTGCGAAAAAAAAGGTTTTTGAGTTAAAAAAAAAGTTGAAAAAATGAAATTTATTTATACCTACTTATCGTAAATTGATTTAAATTATCAATGTCCAACAAAATTTATCTTATGCAAGAGCAAACATTATCTCAGCATATTAAAAACTATTTTCAATTTTAATAATAAGTAATAAAATACAATATGATATGATATGTATTCTTTATAATAGGTATTGTTTTTCAGTCCCAATTTAAGATTAAGATCTTTAAATATATTTCTAACTATACTTTACAAAAACATAAATTACGACTAAAATAATATCATCTTAAGATTTAAATCTTTATTGAGTAGTATTTTGTAAGTTCTATGATCGATCAAAATTTGGGAACATATATGTATATAATTAAGGATACTTTTATCTGGGACGCATTTAATTAATTTATAGTTAATAATATGATATATTATACTCACTGCTTTCCATGGAAAACGTACATAAAGGTTGATCGAATGGAAATATATTCATTGACCCTTCACAACACAACATCAGATGACGTCTATGAGAAAAAAAATTATATCTAACTTGAAATTATTTGTCAAAAGTATATATATTTATATATGATATGTATTATTTGTTTACAGAAGCAAACTTTATTCATTATTTTGAATGTAAATTAAATTTATTGGCAGTTTAAAATACATAAATAGAATTCTAATAAAACATTATTATGTTACTCTTATTTTTTTTTTCCAACAATTTTTATATGTTATAATATAAACCTATATTTTGATTGTTTAGTGTTTAGTTTGAAGTAAGGCATTTTTATCGAATCTATATGATACTGATGACAGTTTCTTCACTAAAAAGTTATTTGAATAAGGACAGCAGTATGAAATATATTAGAATCACGTGTAATTTTATTATCCAAAAATAAAAATATCAAAACACTTTTTACTTTTCTGAGTAACGAACGAGTTCATTATTGAAATATTGACAACATATTATATTAATATAATGATTAGGATTTTGATGTGATATTATTTTTCATTTTTTATAACTAATAACGTAGTTCTGTTCTTCTCTTTGTTTTTTTTTTATGATTTCTAATGTATATCAGTTCTATAGATATTTATAATTATATGTACGGGTAAGAAATATCTCTATAATTTAACCTGGTTGTGTACTCTACACGACCATCGCCGTGCACGTGTAGAGTGAATCGTATGGGTCTCTGGGTTGGCTTAAAGTCACCGTGCATGTGAAAGTTCGTGTCCGGCAACCAAATATCACCCTGATGGTGGATTCCGTTCAAAACGCTGAAAGCCGTCTGATTTGGAAACTGCAGCCTTGAGTCATACCATTCTTGTTGCAACAAAAACTCGATGTCATATTTCTGCAACATATGACGTGTTGCGTGATACAATCATAACGTTAGCAGATTGTACCATTTAAGCCACAAAACAATGAACATAGTTTGATTACGGGACCAGAGACGAAAAACAAAATAATATCAAACCTGTAAGTTACTCTTTTTATGTTAAAGATTTTTAACGTTTAATAATTTTCATATAAAATTTCTTCATTGAATAATTCTACAAACTAATATATTTTCAAATTAAAAAAGTGACATTTTTCAAACTGTTTTAATAATTTTAGAAAAAAGTGTCGTTCAGCCTATTAGTTAAAATAACATACCATCAGGTGGCATTCTATTTAAATTGCAAATAGGGATATACAAAAATAACTGAAAACTTTTCTCTTTAAACTCAGTTCCCCTGTACATTTCTCCCAACTCTAAGTGAAACACCTTTTTACCCTATAATGCGGTTTTGGGCGGCAAGTCGTTAATCGCGTATACCTGTTCTAAGTATATACATGTCGTATAAGTATACCGGTCGACCATGTTTTATAAATAATGGAAAATATCGTACGTATAAATTATAAACGTACTTCGCATATAATGCACGATGATAGTGCCGACAGTGCCGTTATGTAAATTAATCCTCGGGGTGCTAAAATGCACTAAACAACATGAGTATACTTGGAAAATTGCCCGATTTTGGGTTATGATATACACAAGCAGTTCATCAGTGTTTAAAACGCGCATTTTATAGAAGTTTCCATTGTCCGACATACAAGAAAAAATGTTAAAACACCGATTCACTGAAATATAATATATACCGTTGTCGAATGAAATTTAAACGGAGGGTTATTCACTTACACGGAAATAGCGTGTTTTTTTTCTATGTTTTCCTGATTCAAAAAAAACATCATGAACCACTCTAATTCTCTCATTGCCAACCTAGCATCAACATATTACCCTCCCTGTCACCTCAAATTAAAATGATCATGTGATTTTATCATTTAATATATTAAGCTAAATTGAGTTCATATTGGAAGTAGTGTCAATGGATACTCACTTCCCGCAAGCCTTCCAACTTAGTTAAAATAAATAAATGTCAACACCATTACTTATTGTATTATTTGTGTACAGATTATACATTTTTTCTATAATAATAAATAAAAAATAAAAAGTTTTCTTGAAGAAATTATCAAAACTTAGACATATACAATTACAATTTTTTTAAATTTCTTAAAACAGTGATATATCGTGTAAGTAGTTTATATTTAAATTTAATTAAGGATGTACACATGTATTTGTATGCGTTCCTTTTTTTTTTTTTTTTTTTATCTTAAAATAGTTAGCGACTGCACAAATAACTCATTTATAGAAATGTAATATTGTTTTATAACTTAAAATAAACAATTTTATGTTTATTTTTCGGTTCAGAAATATTTTACAAAGAGATTTATTCAAAACTTTCTAATAATATTAGGTTAATTATAAATATTTTCTTACAAATTAAATTAAGTTTTGTTTATAGTTTAAATAAATTATGAAAAGCACTATATATTGTAAGAAATATGTTAAAATATTTTTACGACTATAAGTTGATGATTGATTTGTCCCACTCTATTCACAAATAGACAATTTGGCAGAATAGATTTCATTTGCATTGTTTATACAGTGATACTCATTCACTATTATTTTTCTGAGAAAAATTTTCTGCAATAGAAGAATAAGTGAAAACAAATTACTTATCTCTATTATTGGATATTACTTTATGTGTTTACTAAACTTTCAAGTTTTAACCAACTACTTAATAACGAATATTTATAGCTAGGTAATTGGCTGTTCAACAAATTATTAGAAAAAATAACAGTACACTCTAATAACAACTCTAAATTATTGTTTAGTATTCACAATACAGCTACTAAAATCACTATATATTATAATGGTTCATTATAGGTTACATTTAAATACTATAATTTATGTACTAAATTTGATATGGTATTTAGCATAAATTTATGTCAAGTATCTATACTTTCATTTATGAAAAATACATAATAAAAAATAACATTAATCATATGATATAGCATTGAAATTTTAATTGCTTAATATATGTCTAAATTGTGTATTTAATTAGTATTAAAAATCAAAATAATTAATAATTTACCAAACTTGATTCATCGGGGGACGACAATGTAAATAGCACTACGCTAACATTGACTATTGAAGGACCTGTAAACAATATATAACACATAATAATAAATTACTCTTAAATATTTAACATATATTTATTTGATAGATAATGTACTTTAGAATTAGTACTTTAACTAAATACTTATCTAATAATATTGTTTTACATTATATTAATTATAAAGTTTAAACACTGATTTACTAACGATTAATATGTACTAAAATCATACAACGAAATTTAATAGGGACTATCGTTTGGACACAATAATAAAGATTTTAAATTGTATAATAAAATATGACAAATCAAAACGAATATTATTAATTACATTTAGTAGTATTTTCTATTATTTATCAACGATCATATTTATATTTTTGTTTTCTAATTGAAATACGCATACCTGTATAATAAACAAAATATCATTAATTTTAATAGATTACAAGGCACCCAAACTATTTTTAATCGAAAGCCATATAAAAAGAATAAAGCTTTTAATAAGCTAAAATTACAAAGTAAGGCCGCCTTAAACTATACCCAACTAAATTACTAATACTTTAAAAGATAAATTAAAATGAATAATTTTAAACTAAATGATAGCAAGTGACATTATAAATTTAAGTGGTAAATCATGTATAAAGCTACTACAACTTAACAATTAAATAATTATATTTGGTAGAGCATTTTCAGTTAATCGTCTCATTTACAGCTTTAAGTAAAAGTACTATACTTCTATACATTATCTAGTAAATATATCTCATAAAATAAAAATAAAAGATATAATATATATTATACAATGATTATTTAATTTTGTTCATATTTCCAATAAGGCCATAGTAACGTACTAGTATCTAATTCCTAGTTACCTAGTGTTTGCAAAGAAATAAATCACGTATTTATTTAATGTAGGCTATTTAGTAGACAGATTAACAATAAATATTAGTTGACATTTTACTATATAATTTTTAAACGTATTATTTCTCAGAATAAATTAAATCTTGTATACACAATAAAAAATAGAGACCACCACTGGACTACATTAGTCAAATAGTTAGGGATATGGAGTGTAGACCTTATCTTATTAAGGAAAGCTGAGAAATGTCAGAAGCAAATAATTACTGTCAACCAGCCTTAGGGTTGTTAACAAAAAAAAAAAAAAAAAAAAATACACAATAAGACGTATTTATACAAAACTTTCATAGAGTTAGATGATTAAGAGGTAATCTAGTAATCCATTAGTGACCATTAGATAGGAATAACCTATAAAGGATTTATAGTTAGAGAAAACTACATAAATCAATATAACATTATGATATCATATTTTTTTGAGTTACTTTCATTAGTGTAGGTATAATATGTTATTTTCATAATTAAAATTGAAAATTGTATAAAAATATTAGTTATTTAATGTCAAGATATTTATTGAAGAATAATTTAGAGATTAAGGATAAAGCACTTATATTTTTGAATGCTTGAATCTTTTTCAACTGTCAAATTTTAGCCCAACTCCATAGTTATGTAGAACTCGTTAATATTAGCTCTAGAAGCATCTGATAATTTTAAGTTTATTGTTAAAACTAGGTAAATTTGTTTTAACAAAAAAATCATTTTTAATTTATGAGAGCTATTGTTAAAAATTAATCTTTTAAAAACTTTTATAACGTGAAAATAAAATGTATGCTTATATAATGTTAATATGGTAAAATATAATGTTTATACATTATACTCATTATGAAATCCATATTGTATAGGTACTCGTATTTTCTAAAATCATCAATAACCAAGTTAATTTAGAAATCTAATTAATAATAGTTAATCGTATAATGTTTGAATTAATCGTACGATAAAATAATATTGTATCGGTAATAATAATTTAATAGTTTAGTCTATTATTGTGTTCATTATGTGTGTAAATTATTATGGTGATCAGTTTTATATATTTTTATATAAGTGTAAAAAATAGTCAGTCGAGGAAAACATTTGTATTTTTAATTTGAGCGGTATACAATTTTTAGCACAACTACACATGTCAACAATAATATTTGATAAATATAGGTATAAATAGGTGTACTTAATCTGTTATCCACCTCAATTATTGATAATATAATACTATTAATATTACTCCATATTTCATAATTCTATTACGATTTACTGTTCATTGCACATATAGTATGATGTAACTTAATCATCTCTTTACATTTGACTGGTTATATAAATTCGTTAAAAGATACCTATACAGAACTTGTATGCGTATAATATAATATTTATAAATAAGCTATGCGTATGACTAAAGTTTTTGATAGTTGATATAATTTCTATAGAGTGAAAATACACACCTATTTAAATTATTAAATTCGTAATCATAATTAACTTTTTATGCAATTAAAAGTATCAAGCATAACAGTATTGTTTAATACATTTCTATACTTTAATTTGAGTTTTAGAAAATGGATTAAAAATAGTTTTTCTAACTAAATAACAAATTTCAAAATTATATTAAAATTGATTGTAACCGAATTTATAATACACAATCTATTCATAACTAACCAATTTTTTACCTCAAAAATAATTATAATTGAACTAATTCTATTAGATTATTAAGTATCTTTTGTGTATTTTTACTCATTTCAAAGCTAAAAACATAAAAAAAATATAATAACTTATAATTTACTTACCATAAGACGGAGGCAATAATCGCTTATCATAAATGTCAGAATTCAATAGATGATCAAGTATATGCTTGTCCGATTTTCCATTTTCAAATCTAAATAAAAATTTAAACTTTAATCAGTTTATTTATGTTTAAAACTTTTTAATCAATTCTTGAATCATTAAATAGGTAGCACTTAAAAGATAAGATAATATCCAAAATGTATTCAATAGTACATTATAAAAAAAAAAAAAAAAAAATGAGGTAGCTGCAGTAGCCGTTATTAGTAGCCCGCTGCCCAAGCGGCAAACTCGGTATCATATCACGAACGACACTGGTTGATTGCAATTTACAAAGCTGGCTATCATAAAAGTACATGTTATCACCATAAATATTATGAGAAAATAATATTATTCAATTTTTTCTCAATAACTGAGTAAGGTATATTACATTATAATCATTATATGTAATCATTATATTATTTTAAAATGTCATAGAATACTAGAAGTATAGCTTTAATAACAGTAGTTTGGTACACTTTTAACTTTTAATAAATTAAATCAAAACAATATTTTAACTACACTTCTAACAATACATTAAATTATATAACTATATTTATTTACTATTGACATGTAAATCTGTATATATAAACGAAACTGACCTGAGTAACTGATTCATAATCAACGCAGAGTTGATTAGAGCTATCGATTTGAAATTTTGAAGATAGATTAATATTATAATTTTATCATGGACTAAGAAAACAATTTTCAAATTTTTGATTTTCAAGGGTTGAAATCGACAAAAAAAAAAAATTCCATGTAAATGTTATAACACTTATAACTATATACACGAGTAAGAGCTTATAAGCCGTGAGTTTTTAGCATACATGTTTAGGCTCTTTTTCACATGGGCAATTTTATGAGATATGCTTCATAGTCAGTACACTCACAATTTTAATCATTTTTGCACTAAATGGGAATACATCATATGTAGTTTATAAAGAAATTTTATAATAACATTTTTGTCATAAATTATTATTTTTATCATTTACCAATTAAAATGTCGATCAAAGATACATCGGGTAACTTGAGAGTCAATTCATATAGTAATCATATGGAAATCATTGCTAATAAAGTACTCTCTTTCAATTCTAGAAATAATCCTCCTTTTCTAATAATTCGTTAAAAAAAATGAATTCACTAATTTATAGTCTGAAGTATAATATATCTGTAATGATGTGCAATCAAATTAAAAATTATCGATTTTTATTTTGCGTTAAAACATAAATTTGCAATTTGCGTTAAAACATGTATTTGTAATTTAAATATTTAATTTATAATTCTCATTTCGTAATATTATGTAATTTTTGATTCACTTATATTTTAAATTTAAAAGTAATTTTTGCAATTTCTTTATTTTTTGTACTCTTACCCTTTGAAGTGGTGTTTAGTTATTAAATAGACCAATAAATATATTTGATTATTCTTAAAAAAAAAAAAAAAAATGTTAATAATAAAGTTTTTTTGGTTTAAATACCTTACTATGATATATATATAATTTAAAATATATTAAAAATTAATTTTTGGAACTTCAAATTTTTGTCATTTATCAAAAAATTATTCAATATCATATCTATTAATAAAATATTGATCATTGATTTAAATTAAATCATTAAATATTAATAACTAGGTAATAACTTACTTAAATGGTACTTCTTTTGATTGCAGTGATTCTGAGTATTTCAATATTGTTACGTATAGTATAGATACATACAAGATTTTGGAAAAGTTCATCGTCCTAAGAGAATAAGTAAAAAATTACATTTATTTATAGATAAATTGTGTAAAATACTTGGTTAATAGTTAAGTTTTTGGTATAACGAATATTTACATTACATTATTATGATATGCGTAAAATACTTCGTTTTTATAGACCAACCACATTTATATACTATATTAATTATTAATATATAATATTATATATAAAGACACACATTAAAATTATCAGTTATTGATAAATTATTAAATATATAAATTGCTCAAAATTCTTTGAAACAGCTAGAGCTTTTATCAAGTGTGTTATCTATTACCACATGTGAAATATTAATAATAAATCAGAACACTTATGATATTACTGTATCATTATGGTCGTAGAATAAAAATATTTTCTTTAAATCAATGGCAGCTAAACATTTGAAAGTAGCATTTATAGGTACACAAATTAGCACATGATTAATATTTGACCGATTTCAATCTAAATCAGCCAATTTGATTACTATTAATTGATATAATAATTCACACTAGCCTCTGTATGTCTATAATATTTGTTTGGTTATATTTTTTTTTTTTACTTTATTCAATCATTAAACTGTACGGCGATTATTATTGAATAATCTAATAGGAACACGATCAATAGATTATTCACATGACTTTATTATCCGTATTAAATTACAAAGAAATATCAGTACGTCATATTTAAAAAAAAATTAATTTCCATTATAAAAGTAATATTATGGTTAAAAGACATATCAATGCTCGTTAACATTAAGAATTATAACTATTTACAAATAATTATTTAAAAATGTCTAATGATATATCATATTACCATTTATTATATTTTATATTTTATGACTTACTTTTAATAATAATTATTAATAATCCTACTAATTATGACTAATTATTCGATAAAAAGTACAAAAATTTAGTATGTATCCACTAAACGACTAAAGTATTGTTTTTTTTCTTTAAATCTACCTAAAACCGCTTATTAGTTCAAACTTTAATTACTGTAATTCATCATTAAAATATTAAAATATACAATTTCATCCAAATATTAACTTAATATATCCATAAAAAATTATTGTGATTGTATATTTTTAAAATTTTTTATTTTTAATATAAACTGTTTAAGAGGAACATTGTGAAAATATTTTAAACTTAAGCGATATAAATTGAAGATTTTAAAATTGTTTAGTATACAAATACTTAGATTTTATAAATTTTTCTGATTTTGATAAATTTTAATTTTATAAAAATTTAAATTTCAAATGTGTATAAAAAAAAATTTTAACTATGTACATTTAAAATTTTTTTATATAGATGTAAGAAAAATATACGTGTAACCTTAGATCAATTGCTTATGCAATTTGACCCAGGAAATTAATGTTTATCGTCATTAGACAAATGATTAAAAATAATAAGTAAATAGATATTTTGAGTGTGATTATCTAATGTCGTAAAAATTAAAATTTTAAATTTTCATAAAAATTATTTTGACTTTCCCATAAACTTTTTACTTTTATTATAAGTTGGAAAACTAATAAGAAATCGTATATTACATTTTTTATTTGTATACATTATATATATATATATTAAAAAATTATTTTTATGAATAATAAACTACAAAGCAATCTGTAAATTTTCGATATTTTGACGAATTTAATCAAAATTTTACTTTTAAATAATTACCTATTTTATCGTAATCTTAATTTTTTTAATTGGTAAATCAAAAATGTTTTAGTCACCTCATTTTAAATATTCAATCATTATTATATATCGATATATATATATATATAGAAAAAAATTAAAAACTTCAAATATTTAAAAATAAATCAAAAATAGTCAAAATATTTTTAAAATTTTAATTTGTGTAGGGTAACAATTCTTTTATGATAATTTCAAGTATCAAAGGTTGTGTATTTAAGTTGCACCAAAAAAAAAAATCGATTTTGTTAAAAACAGGTTTTGTGTAAAATCCTTGTTTCTTTAATTTTTATGTATTTTTTTCCCCTAATTATTTTAAAAAATACAGTAAATTTCAAAATTGTAATTGTTATCATTTTAAAGTATAAACAAGATCCAATTTTCTACTAGAAGTTACTCTCAAAAATGAAATCCAAAGCATTTTTCTGCATACTTGTTGTGTGTAGTCACAAAAAACAAAAATCATTTTAAAATCAAAAACCGACATAACAAGCGTATACAGAGTGTTATTTTAACAATTATTACTAATTATTTCGAAAATATAAAGATCTTTAAACATTTTTGTTTATTATATACTTATCTATTTATTAAGCAAAACTATTCTGATTTCAAATTAAACATTTATGCCATTATGAAAAAAAAAAATATAAAGATGAAATATATTTTAACAAAAAAATTTTAATTTTTCATGATTCACTCGATGTGAAAAAAATATTTTTAAAAACGTTGGTTAATTTTACATAATATGATGTGTTTACTTTAAAAAAAAAATCCACACTGTATAATCATAATCATATTTAAGTAATCGAGTAATAGTTATTTTAAATATGCCAGATATTATAATATAAATATACAATAATGTAATATTGATAAAGGCTGATATCTTATTGGTTTAATTTCCATTTGCCAGTTGACCCAGTTTTTTACTTGAACAATACACAAATTATTATATGGGTATTTGTTGTTTCACTATATCTTTATATCACAATAGTTCATTGATTCAAAAAATATCGTCCTTTTTGTTTAAGAATGAAGCAGTGTAGGAAGTGTATAATGCATTCAGAATAAGTAAAGTTCATATTATGATGTATACAGAAAGAAAAAGAGTCCTTTGAAATCGACCACAATTTTTATGCTTTCGTTCCTCATTATACTCACCAAAAGTCAGTAAATACTATACTGGTAGCTGTACTCTAGAATTTTTACACTGATGCACAATAAAAAACTTTTGATGGGCTTATTTTTTCATTTTTTTTTTTTTTTTTTTGTCGTTAATAACCGTCACTCTTCACATATGAATGAAAATGTGTACATTTTTATCCATAGTGATTCATATATATATCACATATGTAATAATATCGTTCAAAGAACAGCGGTTAAGGTTGAACAATATATTTTTTTTATAAACTTAGAATACTTAGAATAAACTATATAATACCTACACTATACAACCACTGTAATCACATTTACAATATTGTAATAAAATATACGGTCTACGAGGGTCGTAACATCTCCTTATTTCAATGAACCTAAGGGTTTCATAGTTGACTGCGATCAGTTAAATAGTTGTTTATTATAAATTGAGTAAGATTTGATAATTAATTTCTAAAATTTAAATATATTTTTTATATATATATATATAAGTAGTAACATACAGTATATATAATTTAGCACAATTAATATAATATATGAGTTAGGAATTTAGTTGTATAATAATTAAGGAGTCACACATTAGTAAAATTTAGCTTTAAGTAAATTTAATTTAATTAATTAGAAAATAAGATGTCTACACCACCTTCGTTTAAGTCTGCAATGAGAATTTCCTGGGAATGCAGGAATGAATACCACTTTTATTGATAGATTATTGTGGTTTTTTAATTCAGAAAAAAATACTTTGTTAAAAACTGCTGCTTCTTCTTCAACTATTTTAGTCCTTGGGTTTTGGTGGAATATCTAGTTAGAAAATGTAGGGCGGAGAATTATAATCTGGCGAGGTGTGAAATATTCAATTATCATAATAACATTAAAAATATAACATAAGAGTACTATGGTCTTTTAGGTAAACAATTAGCAACATTAGTCATTATAAGATCAAATTCTAAATATTTATTACATATATAATTTTAAATTATATATTTTGCTTCTTTAGGAATAAATTATTTTTTAGAAATAATCATAGGGAAGAATTTGTCTAAATAATTTTTAACTTCGTTGACGTGTTGTGAGATCAAGATTTCCTCATGAGGTTTAAATTCTTCTGCTTTATTAAGACCAGATATGGCTGGAGTATTGTGATCCTTCATTAGTAAAGATGAAACAGTTTTAAACTTAAATAGCTGCTTAGTTTCTATCCAAAAGCTGCCGTCACTATGGAAAGAAAGCGTAGTTTATACTCAAAAGAGCTTACCTTTTATTTTGCATGAAACTTTTTTGGAGATTTAGTGAGTTTATAATAAGCTGATTTATGTTATTAAAGTCTAGATCATTGATATTTATCTATTATAGCTCACCGCTTTTTTACTTTAAGACTATGAATTTTCTCGGACATAATTGTATAATTAATATTAGACTAATGGGTCTTGCCAGACTTGATTACAGACTAAACAGCTGATTGTACCAATATGGTAAAATTATTACCACATTGTAAATATTAAAGTTTATATATATATATATATTAAAGTTTGACTTAAACTAAACTTTAAGATTAATTTTTTGATTTAGGATGTTTTAGAATTCAAGCCGATCAGTGGAGGAAAAAAAATAGTCTTGATGGTTCTCTAATTACCATAGTAGTGAGTGATCAGGAATTAAATTTAAAATAATATAAGTTGAGCAGTCTAGACTGTTTGGTATTTTTATGATAAATATATCTAATATATTTGATTTATCTTAGATAAAAATGGCAAATAAGTAGAGGTAGGTAATGAGAGTAACTTAAAATTATTGGTATCATGAAAAAAAATTATAAGAACAGTACCATGAAGGTTATTTGATTGACAACCCCAAAATTATGCTTAGCATTAAAGTCGTCACAAGTGATAAAATCATTTTTATGATCACATATTTAATCTTGTTTGTAATGTCTAGTTGGTTTTGAGTCATCAAAAATAAAAAAATTTAAATACGTTTTTAATATGTGATTTGGAAAAATTGAAAACAAATAGTTTAATAATATAAGTATTACCTCAATACCCGTTTTTCACAATTTTTTTGTTTTATTACAAAAATAAAAATTGAGGTTTCATAAATTTACTGTACCGTTATTGTTGCACTAGTTTAAAAATATCAAAAATAAACAGATACTGTTTTGAAATGTTTGGATTCTAAGATTCTCAATTTATAAAAATAAGTAACATTATTTAAGAGAAAATTAAAATCATCCCTGCAGTACCTCAACTTAAATGTATACTATGTATTTTTTTCATGTTCATTTACTCAAGCTAAGTATTTGAAT